TCTCCATGAGTTGGTTTTGAAACCCAGTATGGGATTCTGAGATACATTACCAAGGATATTATTACAAGATAAATCATTTGCTTCATTGAACACATACAACAATGCATATTTCCACTGAGATCAGTGACATTTGATGTGTATCACCAGTGATCAGTCAAGTAGAAACAGTTAAAATATTTTATCAGATTTTCTCAATTTTTGCATGATATTTTCATACAGGACATCTGTTGTTCAAACTCAGAGAAGACTTTATACTGATGAATAAGGTGACCAAGTTTGATAAAGTTTGGAATAGAATTAGTAAAGTTAATATGCACACAATAACAATTATTAACGACGACAACGACAACAACGCCGGACAAAATTTTTCCCTTAATATACCTTTCCTTTCCATCTTTGATGGTACGGGCAAGGTTAAAACAATGAGTACATACCTTCCTCTGCTGTCATCGCTATGTAAATCAAGATTACTGAATGGTCGTTTATTTCCATGCAATCCTGTTGATGACCGGTCTTTCCTTATCTTTGAATCATGCCCATCACTAAACCTCTTTTTACTTGATATACTGGACTGTGAGTGGCTTGTATGTTCCTGAAAGTGATGACATTTGTCATGATACAATTGTATCTCTTGTATATACTTGGGTGTCTTGGATATCAAACCGATTTTATCAGTCTATCAAACTATTTTCAAATCAAGTATACAGTCAAACTTGCGTATAGTGACCACCCAAGTTACTCAAAACAATAGACAGTTGGTCTTTACATGGAGGTTTAAAAATTTGTGAATTAAAATATGAATTCCTCAGTTCAAGGGATAATTTGTCAACAAATTCAAAGATGGCCAATGAATAAATATCTGCTTGTTTGGATTTTATTGAAAATGTCAATGTACATATTGTATGAATAGTGTATGAATGTAATAATCTTCCATGGTTTTACATGTAAATTTCATGGGAAGGTGGTCACTAAATTGGCGAGACAGTAGTTAGGGAAATTCTTGTTAAACCTGCAGATGTTGACTTGTGTCCATTCATGAAAAAACAATTATTTCTACTACCAAATATTTTTACCAGTATTTGTTTTTTGTGACACCAAAAGGTCACCCAGGCGCGAACATCACCTATGGGTTATTTTGAGGTTTGTATATTTTGTTGATATATTCTCCTATTGAATGCAGACCAAAAATACAACTGAACTAAGTTTGAAATAACAGATTGGAATGTAGTAAATTGTCTTGCCTCTCCCCGTTCTTCCTCCCTTTTCTTCACTGCATGTTTATAAAGCCTGTAAAGCTTCCTAGCATCAAACTCCGTGAACTTTGAGACGAACGTCCACAGGTAACTGCAAAATAAACAATATTAATTTAACTTGGAAATTAGAATTTTACAGATGGTATATCTAAGTTAAAAATCATTGAAGACGCATTTTTCCAGTTCCAGGTTAAAGATATCAGGATGTGGATGGAAGACTTTTTGGCTTGGCAAACTTTTCCTAAACATTACCTGCTGAAAGCCTTCACCAATTTGTACTGAAGGCTACCAGTTAATCTATGGTACCCCAGTATACACAAAGTAATACAACAATGCAGATTCCTTCCCCTTTCTTTCAGATCATTATTCTAACGCAAGAACAAATATGAATGAAGAACACTATGTGATAGATAAATAAGAATACCTTTTCCACTCCCTCATCTTTGTAGGATTATCCTTGAAGTCATCTATACAGTCCATGATTCTGTCTCCTATCTTCAACAGGCACTGTCTGGTATGGTTTAGTTGTTCTTTTTCAGATACTTCAGCTGGAGGGTTGTCCAGCTGTTTCAAAGCTTTCTTCACAGGCCTCATCTTCTCTTTGCACTGTATTCATGGCAAAACAAATGTTATATCGTCAGTCACAAAGTTTAGTTCTCACAAAAACCCCTGAAATATCAAATTGTGGAATCTGATAGCAACACAAAGGTTTTTTTACAGTAATACATCACCAATCATCTATTGATATTCCACGTACTGTATGTGGTTATGTAAATGATATATTTTAATGATCCAGTTTTTGGCATATGCAAGCAACCTAATAGAGCAAGTACAGTACATGTACAAGTTACAATGCATCATATACCCTGGTACTTGAAATCTATCAAATCATTCACCAAAGGCTGGTAATGTAGTTTGTAGGCTAAATGTCAGAGTAGCAGATGAACAGATTCAATGCTTTGAAGGAAGGAGGTGAAATTATGAATATGACAGCTGAATGAATATGAATTTTTCATTACATTTGGCATTACAGCCATACCGCAACAGATATACAACTGAGATCAGTTTTGAATATTAAATGACTTGACAGACACAATCAAGCAATGGGCTGCTGATCTGATTGTAGGTAAAATTGAACCAAGTGGACAAAACTAAATATAAAACATAATAGACATCAATAATTGAAAACTTTTAATTTGGGTAACATATGAAAGTAGATAAACACTTGTTACAGCATGTGCTACTTACCATTGCAAAGACGTTTTCATCAAGATCACCCATCACATCAACGGCATCAACAGGTACGGGGTTAGTGTTAGCAGTGATATGTAATGGTATTGTGCTATCAACAACCTTCTTGGCAGATTTACTTTCCTCTTTTAACTGCAATAACATGTGGCATAGTTTGTAACAAACTTTTTAAATGAGAAGATAGCCATCAGAGAAATGACAACTAAAAGACAAGCAGGCTGAGATAGCTCCACTGTTAGCAATGCACATTTCAGTTAAAGAACTGAAGACATCATTAGAAAATGAACAATATGTATAGTATCAAAGCAATCGGACTTACAGTTTTTAACAAAAAGTCGAAAATATCACTTTCTACCAAAAATGACAAAAATATTCACCAAAATTAGAGAATTGAAGATATCATCACGAAATGAACAAATCTGAGAGAGGTCCACATGTAGTACCTATATATGTAATATCAAAGCAATTGATTTTTTGGTTTTTAACAAGAAGTCGAAAATATCACTTTTTACCAAAAATTACAAAAATATTCACCAAAATTAGAGAATTGAAGATATCATCACAAAATGAACAAATCTGAGAGAGGTCCACATGTAGTACCTATATATGTAATATCAAAGCAATCGGACTTACAGTTTTTAACAAGAAGTCGAAAATATCACTTTTTACCAAAAATATTCACCAAAATTAGAGAATTGAAGATATCATCACAAAATGAACAAACCTAAGAGAGGTCTACCCAAGGTACATATACACCAAGTATTAAAGCATTCAGGCTTGTAATTTTCAAAAAGAAGTCGAAAAAGTAAAACATTGACACAGATGACAATCACTCATATGATAAGCTCCGCTTGACAAAGTCAACAGCGGAGCTAAAAAATATAATTCCCACACACAATGCATAAAAAAATTAAGAAAAATCCAAAATTAAAAATTTAATGAAACAACCCTTCCTTCCAGTTCAACTCAGTGACACTCCCAAATTGGGAAAGATTGGAGGTTTTTTTCTTTACAATTGTTGGTCTTTTCTACAAGTTATATTATTTATCTTGAGATAGCAAAACTATTGGTAATTATTAAAAACAATTTTAGTACGGTAAAATCTGTATTAGAAGCCACTTTCCCTAATAGAAGCCGTACCAATTCTTTTTGAGCAATTGAAAGCCAAAATTGCACCATTTCCCATACGTGTAGATGCTCTAATAGAAACCACATCTCCTTTACTGCATTGTACTATTTTAATAGAAACCACAGCTTCTAATACAGATTTTACAGTAAACTAAATTGATTGTACCTTTGACTTTTCATTTTTAGATTCTTTCTTGCTTGCTTTATCTTTAGACTTTTTGGAATCTTTACCCTTCTTTTTCTTTTTCTTAGTTTCTGGTTCTTTGTGCGTTTCTACTATTTCACCCGCCTCCAAGGAGTTTTCATTTTCTTCTTTAATTTCATCAGTTTTATTCTCTTTTTCTGCTTTCTTGTTTTTTCTACCTTTGGGAGGTTTTGAAGCATTGACAGGTTTGGTATCTTTAGGTTCCTTTGGCTTTCTTCCTCTTTTTCCCTTTGGACCAATCTGTAACAAGAAATAGTTGAAGATAATGTCCATGGAGAAGAGACAATCGCATCCAATATATAGATATATTACCGTAAAATCTGTATTAGAAGCCGCATCCCTAATAGAAGGCGCACCCATTTTTTTTGAACAATTGAGACCCTAAAGTTCATCATTTCTCATATGTGTAGATGCTCTAATAGAAGCTGCATCCCCTCTGTTGTATTGCACCATTTTAATAGAAGCTGCGGCTTTTAATACAGATTTTACCGTACTTGAACTGAATTCCGGGCATTATACTCCTGTA